AAACCTACCTTTGGTGCAGGCACAAAGGCGATCTGTCCCAGAGCAATAGGTAACTGAGACAAATGGGTCCGTCTCCTCTGCTGACCCCTCCTTTTTGGGTGGCTCCACCTTAGCTAGGACCTCTAGTGTGGACAGGTCCAGTATCATAATAAACCCAGCCCGTGTGGTTACCACCAGGTGGCCCAGGCCTGTCACCTCCAGCCGCTTGGAGTCTTTGTGGGTGGAGGCAGAGGTGGAGGGACTGGTAACAGTAGCACTGCTGCTGTTGGTAGCTGCTCCACACACAGTCCCAGTTCCAGATTCAGCAGAGCCTGACGGACCTGTTCCAAGCCCAGAAGAGCTATTTTTTGGAGTTGTTGGGAGAGCCTCCTCAGGAGCCTCTTCGCTGTCATCTTCCCTGCTGTCAAGCACATCAGGAGGAAGCAAAATAAGGGAGGTAATGGCATCCCGAGAGTCCCAGATCTGCTGTACTTTGATAGGTTCCTCATCCAAGGTGACAATACGGGTGGAATAGTTGAGCTTGTATAGTGCAAGATATCCACCTCCACTCTCATCACTTGGGGACCTTTGCTGCTGCTGGTCTCCTGGGGGAAGGATGAGCGGTGTCTGTGGTGGCGGTCCCCCTGGGTGGTGGCCTTCCACCCCATTTGCAACTGGATGTAAGGTGTCTGCTTTTCGTTGGCTGCAGAGTGCAGAATGCAGGCGGTTGAGATTATTAAGAGCTTCTACTTGGTTTGTAGCACTCAGAGACTCAGAGCCACAGGGCTGCAGGGCAACCAGCAGGTGCACACCATCCCAGCAGGGTGTTATCGAGTCCACATAGAGATTCTCCTCCTCGAGCTGTTTGGGCAGCCTCAAGCACTGTACCAGTGCTCCAGGTCGAGGCGGACTGGAGGCTGTTGCTGCAGCCAGTGTGCTCCATTTTTCCATATGCCCATCCAACCCTGCCAGATTGGCAGCATCAGCAAACTGCTGAATATAAGTGATGGGGGGGTCCTGAAGAAGAAGCTGCTCGTGGGTGTCAAACTCCATCTCAATGATTTGTGGCACAGTGAAGCCCTCCTCATGGAGCCCCTTGCTCATTAGGTTATTCATCTGAGCAAAGACTTGTCCTGAGGACTTGTCATCTACTTCTCTGATACTGTACAGCAGCAGCACGGGTATAGTCCTGCGTACAGCTGGCAGAGAAGAGGGGCTAGCAGGTTGGGAACCTGCTAAATTAGAGAAACCCTGCTCTTGTGCTGCAGTTTGAGGATTACAAGTCTCTATCTCCATAGGACCCTGTTCCTGTAGAGGTCCAGGGTGAAAGGGCTCGGTCCCATGAGTCCTAAGTGGACCATCTGCGGTCCTGCGTGTTGTAGCTGTGGTTGTGGTTGTAGGTCGAACCATGGGAACACTGGATGCTGAGCGATAGCTGAGCAAGCCTCCAGCCAACAAGCAGGGAAAGGGAATGTTGTGGTGGTCAGGGGCCTTGTCCTTTGTTTTGGCCTGGTTATGAATCTTAGTTTGGTTTAATGAGGGGTTGGCACCAAGCTCCTCGAGGTCCTTAACAGTATCCTCCAACACACTGGCTACTACCTCCCATTGAAGCTTCTCAGGCTGTTGGAGCACACTCAGTGCCGTCACTCCTAGGCTCACATCCATGCTCTCCCACTGGGACGGCTGGCCTGAAAGAGAAGGGGGAAAAAAATGGTCCAAGTTAGTCTTCGCCAAACTATAACAAAATCAGTAATTCAAACAACATTATTTAAATGAGGCTGGGAAATAGGGTTGTAAAAATCTTCCAACCAACAATTGTCAGTCCAATAATCGATGATGGGCAAAATATTCGCCGACTTTTTGATGGGCAGAGCAATGTAATCATGCACAGACTGATTTGTGTGTTAACAACACAGAAGTCCAAACATGGACAAACTAATTTCCCCCAAAAATTAGGGCTGTCAGCGTTAACGGTCGTCACGATTAACGCGATTCAAATTTTTAACGCGCTCAACCCATCTAGAGCACAGAATGAATAAACTTTGGACAAACTGCCCGAAATGCGTTGACAGAGACATTTCAGGGATTTTGACTCAGTTTGCACAACAGATGGGTTAACTGATAATTGTGTTAGTCGTGATGATGGCGCGTTAACGCTGACAGCACTAAAAAAAAAAAATAAAGTCGACAATTTGGGATGAAAGAGGTAAACCTAAGGATGTAACCAAAGCGGTGTGCCACTTGTGCAGACATATAGTGCGAGCAAAGTACTCAAACACCACTAACTTGCACAGCATGTACGTGTCCACCGCTGAGTATGCTGGGCTATCACCAGCTTCTGCAGCTCCATCAACGAGCATTTCGGTGCACTCTGAGGAGGGCGCATTTGCTCGCAGATGAAAGAGGGCGCTGTTAAAACAGCCCTATTATTTTTTCCTGTTGACTGCTCCATCATTATTAGCAAACTCACTCGTGGGCAAATAAATAAATAAATCGCCCTTGTAAAAACGATGGCCGATGGGCTCAGCCTATCGTCGATATATTTGTCCAGTTACCCAACCCTACTGGGAACTTAGTGCACTCATAGTATCTCATGACTGTTATGATTTCAGACTATTAAAACATTCTATTTATTCATTCTATTTATTAAAAAAGAGAAACACTGAACTCCGTGACAATTTTTTGCCCTGAAATATGTACTTTCGCTAGGTTTCCCAGCAATTTGCAGAATGTAATAGGCTCCTACTGCCAAAAAATGTACCTAGAAGATGCTTGCTGACAATCATTAAACAACAAAAAGAATATAACACTTTAAATACCAGATGCTAGACACATGAAATATTTGAAACAAAGTAATAATAGTATCAATGTTAAGTCAAAGTCAAAATAAAAAGAAATATCTAAATGAAACTACAACAATGTCAATAGTTTCTTTGAACCTTTACGAAAAAAAAGGAAGAAAAAAAAAAGAAGTTGCAAATGCTTGTACCTGTTACTGACTCTGACCGGGAATGCTCATCACTGTCTGAGTCCTCCAACTGGTCATCACTGGAAAACAACAAGTGAGAAAAATCAAGACTAATATCATAAAACAAAAACTAAGAACCCTGACTGTAAAAACACACAAATACTAAGTTAAATCACTTTTTTTTACTTTTATTTTTACATTGTTTATTGTATTTTTTTGGTTTTCTTTATTCTTTTTCTTTTTAAAAAACACTTTCACCTTTTTTCCCCACATAAAAGAAAAGCATTACCTCTTGCTAAACTGTCACATTTTATGTCACAGACAAGTCATTATCATCTACTTAAAGCAGAACAAACCAATCAGTTCAAACCTATGTTCACCACAAAAATCCCAGGAAGCAGATGCCATTATACGCTCAAATTAGTTTCTGATACCAGCTATACATGCCCCCCACACTCAACCAGTTAATTTTTGAATATACATTTTGTATACGGTTTTTATAGATAATTAATTTAATAAATAAACTGTTGAATACAGAATAGAAATGTATGCTGGAGTATGTCAGGAGAAACATGCTGCAACAAAGAACATTTTCCTCTCAATTTGTATCAGGAACATTCTCTGTACTGGAAATACTATAAAATCCATGAGTCTGAAAGGGCTGGTCAACTCTAAAACATTGTGTCCTTGTTAAAAATTTCAAACACAATATTCCTATAAAATTATCTTTCAAGTTTAAATGAATTAAAATGTGAATGTGTGTTTTACCTGTCTCCCTCGAGTTTGGGTAAATCGGAGCAGGAGGATGACTCTTCTAACCATGCCAAAGTTGGTCTCCGAGACTCGGTTAGTGCATGCTGGCCCTGCTCACCACTAGACAGGATCAACTGTCTCAGAATGGCTGGGTCATATGGGTTGATGTCAAACTTCAAGTGCACCTGTTGAACACACAGATACACACTTTTTACCTGGAGTCATAGTCAACAACATAAACAAGACTGCCCTACTCACTCAACTTTTGTCTGCTTATGCTCCAAGCTAAGCAAGTAAGCAATCAAATCATGTAACATATGTTTAAAAGAGCCTCAGGAAGTGTATTACTGTCCTGCTGAGGCTCGTACATGGACCAGAAGTGTGACTTCTTTACAAATCTGATATGGTAGCAAAGTAAAACAAAGCTGCTCAACTGTTTCTATGCACCATGTGTATCTGGTAAATTATAACTTAAAAGACGTGCTTTGGGTTGGTAACAAGGATCAGTTACTTTAATCAGCTGCTTTAACCAGACATTTTTTACTGCCCTTGCTGGCATCATGCCTTTTACCAATAAAGTAGGTCGATGGATTTGTGATATCACTGTTGCATTGCTTTTTGTTCTAAGTCCTGGTAGGGCAGAAACTGTCTGACACTATAAAGTGCTGTGTTGTGCATGCATTCCATTGTGCAGGTAAAGAGTCAGCCAGGCAAGGATTGGTTGGTACTCTGACCTTCATCATTTTGGAGACATCCCAGATGCAAATCTTGCCCCTCTTGGTGGCAGCAGCCAGGAACTGTGGGCAGCTGCCAAAACCATAGCAAGCAATCTTGTCTGAACGATCAGGACTGTTTGGAAACTGTGCGGGTGTTGTTGCCAGTGTCACCGACAGTGGGACGTTCTGTGTGTGCTCTCCCTTCACAAATGGACAATTGGGAGAATGCCGCTCATGTTCAGACCTGGGGAGTAATAGAGAAACGCTTGCCATTATAATACAATTATTATGCTGTGAGCAAGATGCTTGTGTGTTTATTTAATAATCCACTCACCAAGGTTCGTCTGTTGGTTCCCAACAGACCAGGCACACGCTGCAGGTGAAACACATGGCTCTGTCATCCCCTGATGAGGCAGGCTGCAGGAACACAGTAGGGAGGGGGTTAATTTCACTGACCGCCTACTTTTCCTGCTGATTTTTATTGTAAAGAATGTAGTGTTTGTACAGCACATGTTGTAAAAAATTAATTTTTTAATTGGAAAAAAAAACCAAACATGAAATCACTACAGATAAAAATGGTGCACTTAAAGCTGTCATAGCTTTAGCTAGTTTGCATTACAAAGCAAATTACATGGTTATATGGTTGGATGAGTCCATGTGTGTTCCTTTAACTTCATAATCTTGCAGTCAAGTAGAATGTAAACATCTTCCACTAACCAGGCAAATCTTCCCTTTGAGTGCTTGCAAATATTGTGATTCATGTGAACCACATGTGTGCATATAACATTGCTCCTCAGAGCTGACAGATGTAAAGGCAGCTTAGAATTCTCACAGAACCCACCTGGTGGTAAAACCCTGCTTGTGCCATTGGATCAGGCTGAGCCCACCTGTACCCAGCATGTGGCCACGATGTGAATGTTTCCCTCCTGTTGGCCTCGCTGTACATCAGGGATCTGCAGAGAACAACACCTTTTAGAATAATACAAGGCGTTCTTGAAATTATCCCTGGTATGCTGTTTTGACTACATCGTTGTTGTAGTTCACACTACACCGCATTCCAAATTATTATGCAAATTTTATTTTTCTTTGATTTTCTGAAATAGTCGATTCAAATGACAGTCAGCATAATGTTTGAGTCATCAACCATTAGAGTATAATTCAAATGTTACTGAACAAAACTCCCAATGAAAACAGTACGTTTTACAAAAATAAAAAACTTAAAATGCACTGTTCCAAGTTATTACGCACACAGTTTCAAAACATTTTATAGGTTGTAGAGAATTGAAAATGGTCATTTGTTGAATTTGCAGCATTAGTAAATCAATTTTACTGAAATCAAAAGCTATTTCAAACAAAAACATCTTAACAGGTCAAGTTACATATTAACATAGGACCCCTTATTTGATAGCAGTTTTACAATTCTTGCATCCATGAAACTTGTGAGTTTTTGGAAAGTTTCTACTTGAATGTCTTTGCAGGATGTCAGAAGAGTCTCCCACAGCTGCTGTTTGGATGTGACTGCCTCTCACCCTCATAGTTTTTTGCTTGAGGATGCTCCAAAGGTTCTCAATAGGATTGAGGTCAGGGAAGAATGGGGGCCACACCATGAGTTTCTCTCCTTTTAGGCTGATAGCAGCGAATGATGCAGAGGTATTCCTTGTAACTTGAGATGGTGCATTGTCTTGCATGAAGATGGTTTTGTTGCGGAAGACACAGTTCATCTCTTTCTACCATGGAAGAAAGTGGTCAGTCAAACTCCACATACTTTGCAGAGGTCATTTTCACACCTTCAGGGACCTTAAAGGGGCCGACCAGCTCTCTCTCCGTGATTCCGACCCAAAACATGACTTCATCACGTCCTTGCTGACGTTGCAGCCTTGTTGGGACATGGTGGCCGTCCACCAAGAATCATCCACTGCATCCATCTGGACCATCTAGGGTTGCACTGCACTCATCATTGAACAGGACTGTTTGAAAATTAGTCTTCAAGTAATTCTGGGCCCCACTGCAGCTGTTTCTGCTTGTGAGCATTGGTTAGGGTTGGCCAAATAGAAGGTTTATGCACAACTGCAAGTCTCTGGAGGATCCTACACTTTGATGTTCACGGGGGTCCAGAGGCACCAGCAGCTTCAAATATCTGTTTGCTGCTTTGTAATGGCCTTCTAGCAGCTGCCCCCCTGATGTATTTGTCTGGCAGAAACCTTCATCATTGTACCTTTATCTGCATGAACCCATGTGTGCTCTGATTCAGCTACAAATCTCTTAACATTATGGTGATCATGCTGAAGATTTCTAATATCTAAGGTTTTCATTACGTGTCCAAGGCATTCAACTATTTCAGGCTTTTCAGCAGCAGCAGAGATCCTTTTTCCTTGCTATATTGCTTGAAAATGCTGGTCTGCTTAATAATGTGGAACATCCTTCTTTAGTTGTTTTTGCTTTAATTGGGCTCACCTGGCAAACTAATGATCCTAGTTGTCCGAGATTGATTTCAGTGATCCAAAGAGCCCTGACACACTATTCCATCCATGGGTTTAATTGAAAAACAACTTATTTAATTTTAATGAGACTTAAACACAATTTGCATAGTAATTTGAAACGCAGTGTATGTGTGAAAACTTCGTCATATGTTTAAGTCTCAGAGGGTTAAGTTAAGTGGTTAAGTTGAAAGATAGAGCAGGGATAGCTCAGTAGGTAGAGCACTCGCCCCATGATCAGAAAGTTAGGGGTTCAAATCCACCATTTGCAACCCTGCAGTACCCCTGAGCAAGGTACCGTCTCTACACACTACTCCACAAACTCTTTATTGTGTTTAAAAAGCTCAATCAAAAACATACTTGTATTATACCTAAAAAGTTTATTCTGATTCAAGTGCAAATGACCTGAATATGCACAATGTGACACAAAGCTTACTCTCACCTATCTACAGAGCGCCCAGGGCCCACCCCAAGCTCAGGTCTGGCGCTTGACAAGAGGTAGGAGAGCCTGTCCATGATGGATGAGGCCACAGACAAGGCAGCTACGTTCTGGTTTATCTTCTTCAGCTCGCTGACAATGGCACTAGCCACGAGCTTCAGCACATGGTGGGGAAGATGGAAGGTCACTGTTGCCCACTGAGATCAGAAGCATAGGGGAAGAAAGGAAAGGCAGTTATGAGCATAGTCAAAGGAAACAGTTGGGTCTATATATATAATCACATCTGAAACAAAACAACAGTTAAGCAGCATCAAAATAGAACCATGACTGTGGTGGTCCCATTTGCAACTCGGCCTGCACTCTTTTTCACTTCATGATAGCTGTGTGAAAAACAAAAACTTCATGACAACCGTATTGTTGAAGTATCTTTATAAAAATAAAAATAACAAAAACCAAACAGGAATCTTCTCAACTTTGTTTATTGTGTGTTGTCTTTTTGGTAAACTGAACTACAAAAATAAGTGCATTGAGGTGATGACCATGTGTAGTGAGATGTTGACAAACTTTGTTATATTCAGGGTGCACAGTGGTATTCAGTGTTTCTTCAGATAGTGCTGGGATTTTAATTTTTTTATTGATAAAACGTGCTATACAAATAAATATTACTTAGTTATTAATTTAATATTGAGCTGTCAGGAAAGTATCTCTTGCCACACATGAGAACCTATAGATATAACCTATGAGCTTGGTGCATTCCTAAAATTGCACATGGGTACAAAGAATGGAGCTGTAGCAACAGCTCTTAGTAGTCTGTGGCAGTAGGAGATAGCAATCGGTCTATTTGGGTTTACGGTTTTATGTTTCAGAGTGCTAAACTCAAAGTGTTGTTTAAAGTTTGAAATGAAAGCCATTTCAAATGTTATTGGTGGTTTACATTGATCCTTAAATTTCTATAAACCACTGCTGCATTTGGGGATTTAAAAGAAAATAATAGTTTAGTAGACTATAGCGCAGTGGGGTCTGTGGCTCGGCTGCAGGGAAGGAGTGCAGTGGGTTCTGTCGGTAGTGCCAGGGGAGGTTGGTTAAAACAGATGGTGTTCACTGCCTAATCATGTCTCCCCTATTACACTAGTGTGCCGGCACCTGGAGGTGTGTGGAGTTGGAGACAACGGTGGAGCTGGCGGACGTGGCAGACTGAAAGAGTAAACTGCATCACTGTAAATAAAGAAAACCTACATCCTAAACACAGTATGTGGCATGCGTCGACAATTTAATGGTCTACCATTAAACAAAGTGGGTTACGTAAACAATATGTAATGTAAACAAAATTCTGCACTGCTATATCTTAGTATAAACTGAACTGGCTGCTTTTTGGGAGTCCTGG